TACACAGACAGAAAGAGGCAAAGCTGGACCAGAGCAGTTTTTTTTCTGGACCTCATAGTCCTCTAAGGTTGAGCCAACTTTCTCAGGAAGAGAAGACTTGGGACAGGCAGTGACCCCGTGGTGGCCACAGGACAGGTGTGTGTTCTCTCCAGGGTGTGTGTGTGTGTGTGTGCGTGTGTGTGAGAGGACAGGGTCACAAGAGGAAGACGGGGCACCCACTCAGCCCTGGCAGCTCCTGAGAATTCCCATGCTGGGTTTTGAGGAGCAAAAACTTTCCAAAGAAAAACCTAAACCCCGGTGCCTGGGTGACTCAGTTAAACATTTGTCTTCGGCTCAGGTCATGATCTCAAGGTCCTGGGATCGAGCCCCACATTGGGCTTCCCTGCTCATCAGGGAGCCTGCTTCTCCCTCTACTCCTCCCCCTGCTTAGGCTCTCTCACTCTCTCAAATAAATACAATTTAAAAAATTAGAAAGAAAGAAAAACCTAAACGCCATTATTAGGAAACACATTTCCCCCAACAACCATTAGGATAACTGGATTCAAAGAACAGCTATCACAGTAAGTATACGTCTTTGAAGAGCTTCAATCTTGGCCAGATGCCTGGCTCCAGGTTCAAGGCTCCCATCTCTAATGGGCCCCATGACCCATCTCTGATTTTCAACAACCCCTTGCACCCCGGTCCCCCGTCACCTCCTGGGCTCCCCTCCCTGGACCTGGGAAAAGAGCTCTTCTTTCTCTCCCTCTCATCCTACTGCCGAGTCAGACCACTAGAGTCTCACTGGCAGCTCAAGGGCATTCCTGGGACTCAAGTCCAGCAGCTGCGGAGGTCTGTGGAATGTCCACTCCCTACACTCCTGTGTTACCTGGCCAGCCTGGTGCTTTCCCACACTCTCCTGGGAGCACACGGACTTCGTGCTGTGCTTCACGGAATAGCTGGTGCCGGTCTAACACATCCATTTAACCAGGGGCTTCCCAATGGCGCTCGGAAACATGAGCTGGCTCGACTATCCCAACTTTATAAGGCTCTGGGGAACAATGTCACCTGATGAATGACGGGGCTGGTCCTCAGATCCGGGAGGGCAGGTGTGTCCAAGCTGATGGGCCGGTGGTCACTCTGCTCCCCACAGCTGGCAGGGGAGTGTAAGGCCAGATAGACCCCAGCTGTTCAGAACATGGCATCCAGCTGGGATCGGGGTCCCAAGGAGCACAGTGGAGGAATCCATGAAGCCCCAAACGGCAACCTCAGAGGGGTAAGGAGGGACGTCTTCTACACAAAGAAGGGTCAGGGCAAGGGGGTGTACTCTCTGGCCTGGGACCTCAGAACTACCAGGCTCTGTGATCACAGAGCAACAGTGTCTGGCCTTAACTTTCAGGTTAACGTTCAGCTCGCAGGTGGACTCCTCGAGGAAGCCAACCCTGACTACACCAAAACTCTCCAGCAGGGGAAGCTGGGGAACCCCAGCCTACAGTGGCTTGAGCTCAGGATCACCCAGGATCCTGGAGAAGTCCCAGGCTGAGTGGCCCCGGGGGCTGGCCCAGGCCCAGCAAGCCATTACCCACACCCTATCCACGCCTGGCATGGCGCTAGCTGCGGGGCGCCAGGTGGGAGGATGACATGAGGGTCAGGTAAGAGTGCCTGTGGGAAGCTGCAGGGCTCAGATAAACAGCAGGAGGAGGCAGATGACAACGAAGACATGATCCCTACCCTCTGTGGACTTCCCATCTCAAACAGCACCATAGGGAGGACTGCCAGGCCAGGCCAGGCCAGTGAGAACACTCACGCAGGAGATGGACAAAGGCCTGTGAACCTTGCAACCATTCCAAAGTTATCGCCCTGAACAGGTACACTTTTGAAGAACAATGTGTACCCGTTTGAAGAACACTTTAGAGAAAAGGCATTCCTAAAAAAATAAAACGGTACAACCTCAACTGGGGAGTCCAAGGGCTGGATTTTGGATGCTGCACATGGCCCAAAGAGAGTTTGCTTCCCAGGCGATGACAAGCCTTTTGAACACTTGCTGGCCCCAGATGCAGAGAGAGCTCAAGCAACGAAGGAAACTCGCCACCCCCGCTGCGAGGGCTGAGGCATGGCTCCTCCGGGCAGGGAGATAGAGGGGAACTGGGGGAAGTGTTTCTGGTATTGCTGTGATCCCCCCGCCATCCCCACCAGACCCTGACTAATGACGAGGGAAGCACACGGCGCTGCTGGGGACTGTTCGCAGAGCTTCACACAAGCTAACACATCTAATCCTCACGACAGACCCGTGAAGTGGCTACGCTTATCAGCAATGCGTTCCAGATTTGGAAACTGAGGCACAGGGGTTAAGCACCTGGCCCAAGGTCACCAGAACATACACCCAAGCAAGCTGAGCCACACTGTTCTCCATGGGCGTGCTCAGCCGCCTGATCTCTGGGCCACTGAGGAGGACTGAGATTGGTCCTGGGCCTTCAGACTGGCACAAAGGGACCGTGAACATCCAGAGAGGAGGAGTCAGTCACTGGGCCGCCCCAGCCTGTTGAGCAGAAAGGCAGGCTCTGAGGACTGAGGGCTTCCGCAATGGGGTATCCTGCTCATGTCACCCAGGGGCGGAAGGCTCTGTGACTCACTCAGTAAACATTTCAGCCACTGCAGCCCCCACAGTTCTTCCTTGGAGGATGTTCTGGGTGATGGAGGATGGAAGGACCCGGAAGGCAACTTCCCTCTCAGAACCCTCTTTGAAGTAGACTTCCTTGTGGGGGAGGGAAGGGGCAGTGAGGGGGTTGGGACAGAGGGGAACAGCATGATTCAGATGACTCTGAGGTAGGAGTCCTTGTGGGGGTAGCTGAGATACCCCTGCCCCTCCAGAGTACAGACATACATCAAGATGGGGAGGAGTGCTCACTGACAGGGTACTGTGTGAGGCCAATACCCACAGGCAAAGGAGGCTCAGAGCCCGGCTGAGTGACCCACATGGGTAGCTCACAGGGTCACCTGGCTCTGGGCTTCAGAGGTGGGGCTGCCCACAGCCACACTGGTCCCAAGAGAAAGGAACACCCAATCCCACAAGAGACAGCTCTGGCTGTAGCTCGGACACCTCAGCTAGAGCCCCAAACGGAAGAGAGGAGGTACGTCTGGAAAACAACCAGCACCAAACTCAAGGACAGCACACCAGTGAGCACAAATGCACCTCCTACCACTTGGAAACTAGGCTGAGGCCTCGACTGGGGGCTTCAACTGTGGAAACCAAGATTCTTCTTCAGGATATGTTAAGTCCATCAGGAACATTCAGGAATGCACACTGTTTGGCAGAGCAGGTGCCTGGCTGACGGGCCTGGCATCTGGTCGGGGGTGGAGTGCTGTTTGGATCTGCAAAGGGGCTGGACGGTGTGAGGTAGGATGACGGTGCCACACAGCCATCCAGACCTGGGGCCAGAGGCCCAGGCCACCTGAAAGCCTTCATTATTCTCGGCAATGGCAGTTTCTCACAAAGTTACTACCACACTCCAAACTGCTAACACGTAACAAAACCTCCCGCGTGCACCCCTTGAAACAGTGACGGGAAATGCTTCTAGTGCTATACTCCAATGAAGCGATCCAATGAAGCTATTTTTAACCATCTTCTCAGACTTAATTTCCAATTTTATCCTATAAAGTTCTAATTGATTCCACCTCCCCTGATCTCTCACACTTGGCAAGGCTGTGAAGAACATGAGGCGGGCTTGGCGGTTTCTGACGCGTGTGAGATGGGGGATGTGCATGTTGCTCATACCTCTCTCAGCACAGGCCTTCTTCTCAAGGGTTAACAGGCTTCCAGAAATGTCTGTCTGATGTGCCTGTCTTCCCCACCCCCTGGAGCCCCCCAGTCCCAGCCACTGACGCCAGACCTTTCCCTTCAAAGCTCCTTCCTTCCCTGGGCCCAAGGTGTGCAGTGCCAGCTGGGATGCCATGACACGCCGTGGGCCACATGACATGATAGAGAGCTTTTCTCACTTGGCCAGGGATCCAGAGGGAGGGAAAGGATGGTAAGCCACTTCAGCTCTATTTCTACCAGGGACTCAGGGCTCCTTTGTCTTCTTTCCACACCCTTGGTCTACCCATGAGTTGGCACAAGAGAGGGCAGTCTGCACCCACAGCTGAGGTAGGGAAGGGGCCTGACGACCTTTAAATCCTGCCTTGGCACACCCCCACCACCTACACCCCATGCCAGCCATGCTGGGCTTTGCTTGTTGCTTGGATGTGCCCGTGGCCCCCTCCAGTCCTCCAGGCAGGCTGCTTCCCCCTACCAAGGCCACTCTCGTGCCTGCGGTGCCAGCAGCCACCTCTTGCCAGGGCACTCTGTTCTTAGGGAAGCTGTTGTACTCCAATTCTGTATTAGCAACTGCCAGATGTATCTACGCTCCAGAGGCCTGGGTCCATGTCTACCTTGCTGATGACGCTGGTCAGCACGACCGCTTATGTTTACTGAACATAAGTAAGCCGGTGTAAGCCAAATGCTTCCCACACATTCATCTTCTTTAATCCTGACCACGAACAGGACCTGGAGTCCACGAACATTGCACATCACAGAGGAGCGCACCAGGGCTTGGGGAGCCAAAGGGATTTCGCCAAGGTTGCTTGGAGGATAAGAGCAGTGCCAGCTCAAAGCCAGAGCCTGGGCTCCCAGATGCCTGACTCACCGCTCACAGCTCCCTGGCACACCCCTGGAGGGTGTCCATCCCGCGATGAGCGGGATAAATGGACAGTGTTTCTTTCAAAGCTCTGCTATGGCCCAGGCTGGCCCTGGGAGGGCACACCCTGGCAGGACCAGCACTGGGGATTTTTGGGGTCCAGTGGCTTGGCCAGAGCTTGGATGGCTCTGAGAGCCAGGACCTCAAGGCAGGCACTGCAACTTCATTAATTTGGACTGGAAAATAGATCCATTATGATGATTTTTTTTTTTTTTAAATATAGCACCTGCTGCCCAACTTCAAACGGCCCAAATGCCAGGCCAAGTGGGGTGAACGCACGTCCCGGCCTACCTGGGTGAGGACGTCCAGCTGGCTCACGATGTGCTCCAGCGTGCTGGTCAGCGTCTGAGGCACACTGGTGGGCTCCTGGGGCTGGTTCTGCACTGACTCCTGACTCCTGCCTCTGCCTGGAGAGATGGGGAAATCCACTTCTGGCTAAGAACAATGAAAAGAAAGGGAGTCCTTCAGTCCTCATTCAGGGCTTAAAGAAACACAGAGAGAGGAGCAGCCCCTCCAAAGGATAAAGTGGAAAACTACCCACAACCTGGAAAACACGAGTTCTAAATACTGGTGAGAAACGCAGTGTGGCGGCACTCCCACATCTGGGCCACGTGCCCCCTTCCAGGACTTCCTTTCTGAGCAAAGGCCGTGAGTGAGGAGTGCCATCGGAGCACATGGCAGTGAGGGCTGGAGGAGCCTGGGGGGAGGGGCAGGTGGGCTGTAGAGTGCCCTCCGCTGGTTCCTCATGCAGCCCGTGGCCCCAGTAGGCCCCCTCAGAGTCCAGAGACCCTGAAGCCCAGGCTGGCTCTGATGTCACCCCTCTTCCTGGCGAGCCCCAGGCCCATTCCCCACCCCCAGTACAGAACCCCTGGGAAAACAGGCATTGTGTATGAGCATCCAGAAGGCTGGTGGGAATCCTGTGCCTGGGGGGACAGGCACCCCGAACTGCTGTAAAGAGCCTTCCGGGGACGTGAGGGATCAGTGTTCCTGCCTGAGAGGCTTCAGTCCCCAAATGCAGAAGCCTAACCTCTGCACCACCCCGCCAAATACACACTCACAATCACCAAGCACAGGAGATTCCTAAGGGGACCCATCCCAGTCCAACATGGGTCTCCCCAGATTCAGGCACCACTCTATGTACGTATCAGCACTTCTCTTAACCCATGAACCGCTGTACGCTTATTCAGCAGGGTGGAACTCCCAGAGCCACACCATTCCCGGGGACACAGATGGCAGATGCCCCAGTTTTGGTCTTGGAACCTTCCTCTGTGGACTTGCTCCGAGGGAATGACGTGCTTAGTGAGACTGATACTCTCGGCTGGCCCCAAAGCCCCAGTAACCCATAAAGGCAGCCACACGTGGGGCTCAGGGTTTTAAACCATGACCTCAACAAATTTCCAAATGTTACCACATCACCCCCTGGCTTTGCCAGTCCTCCAGGGCTCTCTACTGCCTTTGGGAGAAAATTTGAGCACCTTGACAAGGCACCCCACTCCAGGCTACCTCCTTGCACAACTCCCCTCCTGCCTCTGCACCCCCTTGCCCAGATCCCAAGGTCCTCCCCTATTGGAAGGCCCTCATCCAGCCTTCCTTCCCCCTGATCCCAGCACCCTAGCCTCTACTCACTTTGCAACCCAGAATGCCTGATCAGCAGCGCCTCTGTGCTCCCGAATGCCCGTGCCTGCCCCAGCCCTGCCTGGTTCCTCCAGCCACTCCATCTCCAGTGCCAGGACACACGAGTGGGCTGAATCAATGCCGGTCTGTCCACAGGGCCTGCTGCCCGTCCATGGGTCTGTGTGCCTCTCCCTGTTTCCTGCCTATGCTCATCACCCCTGTCCCTTCTGAATCTAGTATCACTGGGCTCAAAGCTTGCCAGCTACCCACGTGCCACAGAGCTATAGCTACTCTACCCGGCTAGCAGAGTTTACTGGCTATGACTGGGGCTCCCCGAGGCTGCCTGCACATGTCCCACCAGCAGCTGGCTTGCATCTCAGTCTGCCCATCTCCCGGATGGACCCACAGTAGCCCAGCCCTAGGAAGATGCTCTACTCTGGCCAGGGTCACCGGGGTGGGCATCAGAGTCCTAGAAGAGAAAGACCACAGAAGGATTCCCAGTCAGCCAAGGAGGGCAGTTTGGCTCCTAGACCCTACCGCCCATTTTGCTTTGGTTGGAAAGTGTTCTAGTCTCAAAGACAGCAAACTCTCCCGTGCATGCCCATTTGAACCTGGAGAAACATAGGCTCTGGAGGTTAAAGAGAACGTGAAGGTCAGACACAAGAGCTCGAGGGGTGTTCTCGAAAACAGGAGCAGTGCCAAGCACGCGAGCCCACTGTGGGCATGCCTGCTGTGTGCTATGTGTGCCCACCAGGACTGGGGCCCTGGGCCTCCAGAAACCAATGCGCTTGGCTAGCGTAGGCCCTGACAGGTGTGGGGTTTTCCTTCTGGTTTGTAATGCAAGTGCTTGACTTCTGGACTGCCCAGGCGTCCACTTCAGGGAGGCATCCACTAGAAGAGGGCTATCTTTTTTTTTTTTTTTAAAGATTTTATTTATTTATTTGACAGAGAGAGATCACAAGTAGGCAGAGAGGCAGGCAGAGAGAGAGGGAAGCAGACTCCCCGCAGAGCAGAGAGCCCGATGTGGGGCTCGATCCCAGGACCCTGAGATCATGACCCGAGCCGAAGGCAGAGGCTTTAACCCACTGAGCCACCCAGGCGCCCCAGAAGAGGGCTATCTTGAATAAACATGCTGCCCGCCCATGACCAGACGAAGAGCTGGGACACCCCCCACCACAGAGGCTCCTTGGTTTCCGAGATCTTGGCAGATTTTGGTAACTGACCACGTGGTTTTTTTCTTAAAATTCCCACTCTTATGTTTAAAATTCACCAATAACGAGTGAGCCCTGAAAACCCCCAGGCCTCTACCCTCAACCCCAATAAAAGTGGAACCCCAGGTGCTTGCTCTCTCTCTCCTCTCCCTTCACCCTTGCTGTGTGGCCTCACATGTGCTGTGTTATTTCTAGGTCCCTTCATTTTTTTTTTTTTTTAAAGATTTATTTATTTGACAGAGAGATCACAAGTAGGCAGAGAGGCAGGGAAGCAGATGCCTTGCTGAGCAGAGAGCCAGATGTGGGGCTCGATCCCAGGACCCTGAGATCATGACCTGAGCTGAAGGCAGAGGCTTAACCCACTGAGCCACCCAGGCGCCCTGGTCCCTTCATTTCTTCCAAAGGTTCCTGATGGTTACTGCTGAAGGGTGTCCTGTAATTATATTAAGAACTATGAAGGCGGGTTCAACCACAATGTTGGTCATTGACAGGTAGCGGCACACAGTTTCAGATCCCAATGCCTATGCCGGAGTCCACCCCAAAAGGAAATGTTTCAGAAGCCTTGAATAGCCCTCACCTCACCACAGCAGCCCCAGGCCCAGGCAGCCATCTCAGGAGACACGGCACAGTGCGCTGGGGAAGAGCTGGGATTCAGACAGGCCCTGGCCGACATTTGAGCTCCAGTACTGATAAGCAAGGTGGCCCTGGGCAAGAAGCTTAACCTCCCTGGACCTCAGCTTCCTCATCTGCATGATGGGGGTGATGATTGGCCCTGCCCCCCAAAGGGCTGGGCTGTGAAAGGCACTTCTCTGAAATCACTCGCAGGCCTTTCTTGAGAAGTAGCTCCAGCCCTGCGCCCCCTGCCCCGAAGGATTCCCCCCACCACCCCACCGCTGCCACCGCCACCCTTCCAGGCACGCACACTCTTCCTTTGGACAGTGAGTCCCTGTGGCTCCCTCAGGAAAGGCCATGAAAGTGAGGGCGGGAGCCAGGCAGCCCTCTGTCCCGACAGCCAGCATCCTCCAGGAGTGGTCAGACGGGGTCTGCCTGTTGCCTGGGAAGGATGGAATGGAAATTCTGAGTGTTTCTGAAAAACGGCCCAGAAACTGACAGCCCTAAGCTGAGTCCCTGGGAGCACAGTGATGACAGCGAGTTGGGGGAGCAGGGGGGACCACCGCTGACTCACAACAGGAACCCTTCTTCTGAGCCCAAACAGAGCCAGCTCCAAAGGTGCACTGAGGACAGCAGCCACGTGCCGAGCCGGGGAGGAGGCCTTTGGAGGACACGGCTGTGGGAACTGCCATGCTCCCCTGCCTACTCTGACCTCTCACAGGCCGCGACCAGGTGACAACAAAGGAGACGGAAGCTCCGAGAGCAAATGACCATTGGGAGGGCCCCAGCCTCAAGCCTCCCCCACAAGCCCAGGGTCCTGCCTGCCCCAGGCTATTCCTCTGACCGCGCCGTCTGGTCCTTGTCTTTCCTCCCCCAGGATGCAGCCCTTTTCTGCTTCCTGTCCATTCTCTTACCGGTGGACATGACAGCACTGCACACGCCACCGGGCCAGCGCATAAAGATGGCAAGAGCCGTTGTCCCCTTGTTACCTAGCACGTGCCAGCGTTTACACACATTTAATCCTTACAGTGGCTCTTCCTTCACAGCAGGCATTAAGCTTATTTTTTGGGGGGGCAGTTAGCAGGCTCGGGGAGGTTAGAGATCTTGATCAAAGTCACCCAGGAAAGGAGAAAGCTGGGACCAGGACCCACGGGAGAGGCCATTCCCTGACATGAGGCAGCCTCTGAGAGGTGACACTGCCTCCACACACCTGCCACACAGGTCCGGTGTCAGACACTGTCTGAGTCACTCCCCCACCCACCTGCCCGGCATAGAGCTGAACATGGAGCAGGCCCTCCACACACACCCACCGCCTCCGAGAGCCCAGCTCACCACGGCGACATTCCTGGGTAATGAAACCTTGCCAAGGCCGGGGGGTGGGGCGGGGGGAGGCTGCAGCCCCACCCCGCAGAGCGCTGCAGCCCCTCACCTGCACGCCAGCTCCCTGGAGATGCAGCGTTTCCCAGCGCTGGGTGAGCAAGCGATAAGCAGAGATAAGGAGATGACGAAGGGGAGTGGGAAGGGACGCACGTACCGGGCTGTGAGTAATGACAGTGACGGAACAGCCGGGGCAGCACGTGACGGGGAAAGGCTATAAGGGCTCTGCCCCGCTCAACATCAAAGGGTCCCGGGGGCCCTGCCCGGCGAGTCTCAGTGACGATGACATCAGCACATATTATGTACCTACACAGCGGCACCGAGAGGACAGCTTTCATTTTTGCCATATACAAACCTCCTAACATCAGAAGAAAAAAAGGTGAAGACTCAGAAGAGACAAATCCCTTCCACTTCGTGGAACTCTCACTTGGGGTCCGCATGTGCCCCCTTTGGTATGGTCCCCTGGTATGGTCCCTGGCATGGGATCCTGAGCTCTCATAGCAGGTTCATCTTCTGCTTGCCTCAGTTTCTACTGCCACCAGCCTGTCGTCATAGGCTACCAGGAGCTCAGCATCATGCATAGTAGAAACTGCAGAAATATCCAATTGATCTCAGCCACTT